ACGAAATATTCAAACCCTTTCAACCACGTGGACCCCTTCTACCCCAAAGCTCAATGTTAGAGGTCTTGCAAGAATGTTTCGGCGAATGGACGAAACAAATCAAACCCTGGAAACACAAATTCAATCAAGTTATGTTCAACATTGACCTTTGGGGGTCAGGGGTTGGCGACAGTTATTGGTACATGGGTTTGAATATTTGGTCCATCTACTGTAGTAGTAACAAGGATGCTACTAGGAACAAGAAGCTACTAGGTTTCTTTGTTCTTTCTTTAGCCACTTGTTTTGACCATTCGCCCTGACGCCTCGGACCACACCGAACGTTCAGCCTTTGGTGCCAGGATGGTCAGCCCAGCAGCCATCCTTACTTTTTGGAGGTGGGACATGCAGAGAGCTTTTGTGCAATGAAATGGCACGGTAAGGCTCTCTTGGAGTCCAGATCTATTCAATCATGAGGAGCAAGGTGCAGCCAATGAGAACTTGATAGGATCATCATCACTTTGAACAGAGACGCTCACCACTATCGCCACTAGCAGTACTGTTGTAATACTGTTGTAATCGCTGGGCCTACAGCAGGTGAATCCAGAGACTCTACAGCTCACGGATACCAAGACTGGCCAGGCCTCGGTGTGATCATGCTTGATCCAGGCTGCTAGCGTAGAACCACAGATCCACAATGCGATAGGTTGAGGTTGTTTCAAGTAAATGCTACATGTCAATATTACCAGAGCAGATCCAACAGATTGCTATAATCATCTTTGCATATGATAGCACCTGCACGCAAGGTTGCTTTCTTGAAGATGAGCGGGGGTACATAGATTGTACATCGGTGACGAAATCAACAGGTTTCAATTGCTTTAAAATGCTTTTAGCATCACCAGGTCCTGCATGAGAATGTTTTCGCTCCTTGGCTTTGCAAGTAGTGGGTATAGATTGCAATTACATGAGTGGCGTTGATGGCGTTGTAATCTGTCACCCATGTACGAGTGAAAACATCAGGCCTGCAGGGTGATATTGTACTCCCTGCTTGCTCCGCAAAGCCCTTCTTCAATAGCTTCAATATGTGAGACATTGTAACCATTGTGAAACATCTCTCAGACTCTCAGAATATGTAAACCGGTTGAACTGTCAACAAAAAGGGCCCAGATAACTGAGGCATTGGGACCGTTGCGCGGGGATAACTTTATTCGGTTCCTGCATCTTGTTTGCACCTGAGGCTTCCGGTCTACATCAGCCCGCACACTTTTGAGAACCCACTCAAAGTCCACAATAAGTATATCAGAATAAAAGTGTATCGTATCGTATATGCATCCACCCTTTTTGTGATACTACAATGCTTCATGTGGGGGTGTTTGTCAAAAAGGAGACCCCCAACCAAGCTGTTTCTGTTTGGTCTTTGCAAGACTTGCACAACCGCCTGAGCACATAAACCGTTGGTTTCAAACAGTACTTGAACCAATCCGCTCAAAAAGCTTAACAAACACTGAAGCGGTGTGCTCCGATGAGCCCTTGTCTTATCAGTCTGAATCTTTTCTTGCGGCTTCTAAAGGAAGCAGGAATCATCATCCCACTGCTCAATGCAAAAATTGAGATACATATTTCCAAGAGACTTGCCCCAAACAATGAGGCTTTGAGGTCATTGCTAGATTGGAGGCCATCGCTAGTAGGTTGAAGGCCATCTCTTCCCCTCGATCTGTCTCGATCCCAGGATCGGCGATGCCTTCGTGGTGCGGCGTCAGCTGGAAGCCTTGCGACGAGAACGTGCGGAGAACGGGTCGAAAAAAGGTTGTGGGGCTGGTGGGCCTTTGCAGCCAAGGCAGGGGTGATCAGGTGGGATCTAAAGAGGCTAGATTCTTTGTTGAACGGGTTTGAAGCTTGTTGAGGTAATTAATTAGTTATGTTGTTTGACATCAAAGAAGAGCGGCTTGAAAGGGATAGAACATGAGTTGTGTGTTGCCCATGTAGTACTCCGGCTGCTGTTGAGCCAATAGACGTCAAATCGATGGCTGAGGCAGGGCTACCATTCTACACAATGACATATTCTTGAAGCCAAGTCAGTTTGTAAATAATCCGTTTCTGACAGCTGGCAGAGCAAAAGAGGCAGCAGTTTGCTTGTGTTTGTCCGTGCTGACGGCATTTGCTGTCTATTTGACCTCCGTACCAATCAAGGAAGACTACATATGTTGCTTGACAAATTCAATATTGCCAAATGGAGCAGCAACGTTTCGAACACCACTCAACTGGCAAATATATAATTGAACAACACTCAACAACCACCTTCGATTGTATTCAACACTGCAACATGCTGGATACGCTTGCAGGGGTTTGTTTCAGAAAATCGTAGTGTGCCTCACGGACTGTGGAAAGTGATACCTAGCCAGCTCCAGTGCTGCTGTGGGTTTTCTTAGCGTGATGGAGGATCCAAGTCTAGTTGGTCGGCAAAATGTCCACGAGGTCCAGGTCTTTGACTAAACCTCGGTTTTGCACACACTGAGTAAACTGCCACAAGACTGAGCTGAGTTTGTGCTCGTCCACACCACTTGTGAACACGGACAAAACCACCCATGTACTTCAGGTGCTAGGCGATGCGTCCACATGCAAGCAGAATCACAAGAGAAGCTGCCGTTTCACAGTGCATGGCACAATCCCAGCGAAGCGAGCTTCGAAGGCCGGACGGCACGGCACATGTCAAGTGCTGCTGCATGCTACTTGTACCAAACATTAAAGCTTGGATGTTGATGTTTGTTGACAGCAGATGAAGCTTGAAGCAGAATGAGACTGAGACTCAACTACCTGCTCAAGCTCAAGCTGCACGGAAGAGCTGGTAGAGGCCATCCGTAGACATGCAGCTTGTGCTGTGGTTGCCATGGTTCGCATGGCTTGCTACAGCAGCCAAGGTGTACAGATGCAAATGGCCACGCTCTGTTTTAAGCTCTGGTGATCCCAATTTGACTGTGACAGTGGATGGATCTGAAGTGAAGTGCGATCGGACTGGAGATGCAAATTACATTTGTCCAGCCGCCTGTGACTACGTGAACAGCAATCCAGACGCTTGCTTTGGGCCCATCGAAGATGGAGGTGAATGCAACACCGTTTGGGAAAGGAATAGCCAGTCCTTCTACACGCTAGAGAGTATCAACAGCACCTACGCTTGCACCAGGCGCTGGAATAGTGATTGTTCTCAAGACATGGGAGGCACAGCATGTCACCAACTGGGCCAGTGTCATTTGGAAACATTAGAATTGAACTTTTGTTGCAAACAGGTTGAATGAGCTGGGCTAATTGGACATTGACTTGTTGAAAAGAATTGTATGCACTTGCTTAAGGCTATGGGAGCTACCAGATGGTCACTTTCGATCAGCAGACCTTTCTGGCGAAGTATGGCTACGAGCCGAGCTTCCTGCAGCAGCCGTGGGAGATTCTGGAGCCTCCGTGTCTTGGTCAACCCTGCTGACTTCCTAAGACCTATTCGGGTTAGGTCTTTCGCCACAGACCTGAAGATACTTCAATGAGCTAAAGAAGGATCCTAACGATGCATTGGCCAAGAAAAGCATGACTCCTGACATGGCGGCAAGATCCATTTAAGGTGCGTGAGTTTTCATGAGCAACCTATCAGATCCCACTTCTTTTTCTTGACATTTGCTTGCAAATATGTTCCAAGCTTCAAGCCAAGCAAAATCAATGCGGGCAAGGTCTTGTGCTGGCCACACAGCTGCGGAGTGCTGCATGTTAAACATCAACTACTACCGCTGTCTACATGGAGCACCTCCCTTGATCTATCACGCAGGGATTGCAGCCAGCGCACAGGAGTGGGCCAGCAAGAAGGACAAGGGCAGCATTCATTCCAACTGGGGAAGCCTGGCTGGACTTGGATAATCTTGGATCAGTTTTTGGTGTGTTTCGCACGCGGCCTTTTTGTGACACAGACTGCTGTACCACAGACAGCTATTGGCTTTTTCTCAACCTCTTCAAACTATGTCCTATGTTGCTTTTCACCAAGTCTTCCTATGTTCCAGAACTGCAAATTTGAGTCCAACAGAATTGCAGGTGGCAGCTTCTTTCCTCACTACACTGAAGTGATTACTTGGGGCACAGACAGCTGCGTACGCGGTGCCAAAGCATGGTATGCCGAGATAGGCGTCCACAACTTCAGTATCAATGCGGTTCAAAATGCTGGCGGCTCTTACAATTCTGGCAGCTTGGTTGAGATCGCGTGAACATTTTTCAATGATGTCACGTCCATATTCTAGATTACTCAACAGGAGAAGGCCCCTGTTGAGATGTGTGTAGTCGAGGCCAATCCAAGTTAAGTAAGGCCACATGGTTCTCCTCTTGTGGCACAACCACACCATGCTTGGCTGTGGATTTGATTCGACTGGAGATGCCCCCATTGTGGTGTGTGACTTTGCATGGGCTCATCAGGGACACAAAGGTGATGATGCCTGGGAAGCCAACCTCAAGCCACGAAGTGGAGCAACTCAATCAGAATGCCGACAAGTCGCAGAGGCAAGGCAGTGGCCATGAGTAGGCTGAGTAGAGGTTATTGCATAGATTATACAGTAATATGTTTTTTGGGAGGTGCAGTTTGTGCAGCTTGTAGTAGGAAGAGGGAACGTTTTGGCTATTCACAGCTGGTTGTTGGAGATCATGTTACCCTTGGAGGCCTCACTGAGCTTCCCCATTCTGAATGCAGGGGACGACATCACTGCGGAGCAAGTGGCGGCTCTAAGGGCTGGTCAGATACCCGGTGGTGCGAGTGCAAGCACCACCACAGGTGACAGTTCGTCCAACGAAGGCGTGAGCACGACTGGGGGGTCCGACAACTCATTGACAAGTTTGGGAAGGGCAAAGTGTCTCTTGGGCAGCATCCCTTGCTTGCTGGGCTTTATTGCTCTTCTGTTCACATGATATGACTCTCGAGGTTTTAGTTGTTAGGATTTTACATTACCAGCCTTCACCCTGGGGAGTGCTGGCTTCTTGGCACGACTAGGCGTCGTCAGGGTTAAAGTTTCACACCACAAGAGCTCAGCCACCTGCGCTGTGGTCCCTGTGCCCAAGCTGAAAAGCAATACTTTTTGGCAGCCCAACCTCTCGGGAGGAATCTCACATGTCAGCTTTACAGTTACATGGAGATAGTGGCATCAAAGGCGGTATCAATCTCTTGGGAACACTCACTCCTGCTAGTATTGGAGAGTTTAAGATTCATTGTGAATTGACATGAATTGACCAATGGTTTCCATTTGTCATTTCGGCTCGTTTTGTATGGTCCAGGTGCTGGCAAATATGCCGGAAGTGGTAATGGTTGAATGCTAAATTCAAATGATTAATGCCTTCCATAGTTTCCTCCGATGCTTGTTGTTCGCTGGCTGCAGCCAAGTGATCGATGCAGAGCGAGCCAGAGTCCACCAGACAGCTCTGGAAGCTTTAGCCAACGATCCGCTCCCTGAAGGTCAGCGATCTGTTCGTGCAAAGTGCAAATGATTGAACTAGTAGCTTCTAGCTACTAGTAGGAAGAATGCTACTAGTAGTAATGCCAGGAGCCCCTAGTAGCGTCCTTGCTCCTAGCAGTAAGGCCAGGAGCCCCTAGTTAGTAGCTTCTAGTTACTCTAGTTACTAGAAAGCTAAGCTTCTTGTTATTGGTAGAAATACCAGGAGCTAATAGTAGCGTCCCTGCTACTAGTAGCGATGCCCTTGGTTCCTAGTAGCTTCTTATTGTTATGTCACCTTTTTTATTTTCCCCACCTGTCAGGTGAGGGTTGTTAGATTTTATGTCAGCCCTATCTCCTCCTCCTCCTCCTTCTCCTCCTCGTCCTCCGCCGGACCTCAACCACGACCATCCACGCCCAGTGTTCCCTGCCGGACCTCAACCACGACCTTCCACGC